CACACACACACACACACACACACACACACACACACACACACACACACACACACACACACACAAAAAGACACATATCTCTAAAGAAAAAATCATTCTTCGGACCATTCTCGTGCTACATACATGCGATAAGTATTTTTAAACTTCTTACTTATTACAATTTTTTAGCTATTATTAGATAAAGTGTATTAAATAATAAACTGCTATATATATATAATTTTGTATTGGATATATAATAATGACTAAAATTAAAAAATATTTTACAAGTAAAAGACATTTGCGGCGAATAGTAAAAAAAGACTTAATAAAAATTTTACAAATGAATCAGCAAATAATACAAACAGATAATAATACTAAAAAATCCTTGCGACCACTGATCTAAATTATTCGTATATATTTACACCACTTTAAAATAAGTAAATATTATTTTGTTTATTTTAAGAAAGTAATATTGCTGCTGTGATGACGAATGAAGACGGAAATTCTACAATGAGTAATATTATTATTGAAGATTTACGAACAGGTATTAATTTTAGTATCTAAAATTATTATTCTTATGCTTACACTTCATTAAATAAGCTAATTGTAAGTGTAAAAATATGAAATTACATAAAAAGTTTTATTTTTATGTTACGTAAACATTTTTTTTCTGTTATTTTTACAAAATATTAATTACACAAATGCTATTTTTCAGATTACAACGTAATGTTACAAATATTACAAAATCTTTTGGCAACTAGGAAAATAGTAGAACAGCAAAATGAGTTTCTAAAACAATTAGATTCTCGAATTAATATTAATGTTGCTTCAAACGCAGTAATAAATCCAAATATTATACAAAATACGACAAACATAATTCCTACAAAACCTTTTAATAAATATAGAAAATTGTTAGAGTTTGATGATAGCTTAACAGCAAATATAGTCGCATCAAAACAATTGGTAGGAGTTTTTAAGTATATAAAATATACTTGAATAATTTAAAAATAAAATTACATTAAAAATGAAATCCTGTATTACCCGAAACATTAACTGCTTTTATTTCTTGTATAGGAAATGTTCTTCTATTTATTAGGAGGGAATACTGCCCAAGTTCAAAGTAAAAATGGATTGGAGAAACTATTTACCAATAAACTGGGATGTAAATGATCTTGGTTTGGCCGCAAGGGAAATTATCAATTGTGCTCATTACGTACAATGGCAATTTTAAGAGGTATGTGTAAAAGTTACGAATTTTTTAATTTTTATTTCTAACTCTGACTGCGCCGCTGGCAGCGTAGAAGAGTATTACGCATTTCTTTTGTTTGCTACTGTTTTTCGTACTAGCTAAAAAAAGTAAAAGACGAATCTCATATATTTGATAAAAGACCTCACATCCCTACACCATTCTTATGAAAATATGTCTTTCTGTCAAATCAATCGACTAATTTTTTGAAATATAGCTCTCGTTTTGAACAAGTCTCAATGAACACAATTTGATCCTATGAGCTATTTTTGCGTTATGAAGGCTCTAGAAGATCCAAACTTAACATACCTACTTATCTATTTGCATTTGTGACTCTTGATCGAATGTACGTGCATACGTGTGGCGAGAATGCGTGCATGTGTGCGTGCATATATTAATTTTTTTATTTAAAAGTTAATAAATCTTCATGTTATCATCCTTTCATATTATACGTCTGTATAATTAGGAAACAACAATTCCATAAATGTGTTATATAACTGTTCATGCAATTATATATTAGTTGTTATAATCATCAAGTGTAATTAAGGTGCACGTATGCACACACACACATGCGCGCGCGCACGCGCGTGCACATGCACGCATGCTCATTCGATCAAGGGTTACACATCCAAGTAGAAAAACCTATACATTTACAAATTAAATCTGGGCTTTCTAAGGCTTGTAGTACGGAAATGGCTCATATTATAGGATCAAGTTGTAACTATTAAGACTTGTTCAGAATAACGAGAATTACAACATATTAAAAAATTAGCCAATTCGACAGACATTTTTCCGTAAGACCTTTCTTCTTTTAATTATAAAAATATAAAATATGTAACCCTCTTTTTATTATCGCATGCGTAGATGCAATAAGAAAACATTTTCCAACGTACACAGATAGAAATTTTCAAGATCATGTATCCTCATGGTTTAAATATGCAAAAATTAGATATTTGAGAGAAAAAGCAGGTATATTTTTTATAAATATATAAATTATACATATTGTTCTCTGAAATATATTTTCCATAACACTATATTCTGAATCTATCTGTTACAGGCCGAGATGAAAAAGAGAACACCGAACCCTATGA